GGGGAACATGGGTGGCAGTGGTGTAGGGGAACATGGGTGGCGGCGGCAGAGTGAACGTCGTCTGTATGTGTATATATATATATATATATACTTAGAAAAAGTCACTTGCAAATGCACATAAATAAAATTTTGTAAACATTATGAAATATTTTATTTATATATATCACATTATTAATAAATTTATAAAATCATAACAACCTTCAAGATTTAGTTAAAAAAAATAACTTTGAAGAGATAAAAGAGAGTTTGTGTTTGTTTGCTTATACATATCAAAGAAAAGTGTAAAAAAATTGCCTTTAAAAATAAAAAATTATGATATAAATATATTAGAATCAACTTTATAAAATTTCAAAGACATTAAAATCTAAGTAAAAGGACAACTATTTGGATTGTAAGGTCAAACTCATGTTACTCCACTTGATTGGTAAATATTATATATAAAATATTAAATATTGAAACTTTGAAGAGATAGAGAGTTATGGTTGATATGCGTCAAAGGAAAAAAAAAAAATATATATATATATATATATATAGAGAGAGAGAGAGAGAGAGATATATATATATATATATATTTCCTTGAAAATAGGAAATTAAAATGAAAAAAAAAAAAAAAATGAAGTTTTGGAGAATAAGAGTAAAAATGCTACACACATTTGAAACAACACAGTCCATTTATTAATTTGCAACAGAACAAACAAAGGAAAATTGCAATAAAGAATGATACCTAAAGTGGAGATGTTTTTCTTAGCGAATGAGGATTTGCAAGTCGTGGTCTGGTGGACTTATAAAAACATAAGATTTGATGATAATTTAAATATAATTTTAAAATTTTGATCAAATAACATATCACAATAATAAGCCATTCTTTAATATATATAATTTATAAGTGGGTCAAATTTACAAATTTATAAAATCCTTTTAATACTTATCGTTAGAAAAGGAAATAAAAATTAATAAGAAAAAAAAAAAAAAAAAAAAAAAAAACCAGACTTGAGAGAGAGGTTGATTAATTTTGCACCCAAATGTCTAGGTTTCAAGAACTATAGTATATTGTATTAAGAGATGTTGGAACGAATGATTTGATTAAATACTAATTAAAAAGAGATTTATAAAAGACACAACTCCTCAATTGTAACAGATTTGGTATTACGAATGTACAACTCTTAAATAGCATTTAGTATCAAACTATTGAGAAATAACAATAACAATTGTACTTAAATACTAATTAGGAACAAATTTTTAAAAGTCACCACTCTTCAATATTAAGATATTTGAAAACACACAACTCTTATAGCAATTAATACCCAAACTATTGGTGACTCTTAAAACATGAAAATTAAGTTACAAAAATAATTATTTATTAAAATAACTGCTTTAAATTCTAAATAATCATATTAATTCAAATAACCAATAGAATGAAATCTAAAAAAACACAACTCTTAAATAATAGTTAGTTAGCAGTTGTAATAGACAACTAATAACCTAATTTTAAAATGTATATAAATTTTATAAATCCAATAAAGCTATAGATTTATAATAATAAAAAAAATAGTTTAAATGTGTATAAATATTAAAAATTTATGCAACATTGGTATTGATCAATAAGATTGGCAAAGAGAGAAAAATGATTCACCGTTCACTTTCGAAACTATTTATATAATTAATAATTCATAAAATATTTATATAATTTATTCTCATAGGATTTACAACATAAAATAACTAAAAAAATTATAAAAATAGTAGAACAATAAACATTACACAATCGTTTCTTTGTTTCAATACTTTAAAGATCTCATTTGCATACTCTGCCATTGCATCTCCTTTTGTAATGTGAGCAATTTAAAATTTTAAAAAGAAATAAAAAAAAAACTGCCATATAAATTTTATACGCAATAAAAGTACGAAATAATAAAAAATTAAAGATCTTATGTCATGAGAAACTCATCTTCATCTGTGACTCAATAGTGTTATCTATTTTCTTAAGATGGATAAGGATCTATTTTCTTAAGATGGATAATGTTAATATATATTGTGTATCATCAAAAATCATCTGAAACACACAACGTAAAATTCTAGTAACACATGAGAAACAAATTTCTTTATTAAAAAGATTGGAAGAGAAATAAAATAATGAATATAAATAAATATTCTACATATATATTAACAAGAAACATACCTTCCAAAAAATAAGGCTATGAGTTGCAACTTGCAATTGATGCATATGAACCAAATTATCACTCTCGTGTTTCAAAGTTGTAGTTTGAACATTAGAAAAAACCTCTGACAAGAACTTTTTACGTAGACAAATAGAAAGGGACATATAGTTTGCAACATGAGTTCAACTTAGACATCATATATATATATATATATATACACACACACACACACAAAGAGAGATATACAAATATATGAAAAATCTGAATGTAAAACTGACATTGCATGAGTTGTAACCAGCAAAGTTCTACCGTCATGAAGTTCTTCAAACAACAACTTAAAACTGAAACAACGCTAATAAAATATTAAAATTGAGTATTGTATATAAAAATTACAAATAAATTTAACAATTGTAAAGTTTCAAACAACATCTTTAAATTGAAACGACGCTTCTAAATATTAAAATCTAGTATATAATATTATTACAAAAAGTGTATATAAAAAATACAAATAAAATACACTTTTATAGGGTAAATAAATAAATATATATATATATATATAGAGAGAGAGAGAGAGAGGGGAAGAGGGTGGTGGCGGTGGGGTAGTGAACGTTGAGAGAGTGGGGGAAGAACTAAGAAAGTGGTTTTTTTTTTTTTTTAATTTTTTTTTATGCATAAATTGTTCATGATGGTAGATTGGTCTAATTTATTAAATGATAAAGTAAAAAAAGTCTCCTGAATGTTTAAAGGGTAATTTGGTCAATTTCTCATGTAAAGGGGGGTGTTTGTGTCCATTTTTGAACTTTTAAGGGGTGTCTTGGTAAAAAAAAGAGGTAAGTTTTATCTGGGTATCCATTTGCCAAACCTTAGGGGTGTGACTGTACTTTACCCAATTTATAATTACAAAACTACCCAAGGGTTCCTAAGAGAGTTCCAAACGTAGTCTTTTCAGAAAATAAAATATTTAGATTTTTACAAAAATAATTATTTATTAAAATAATTGCTTTAAATTCTAATTAATCATATTAATTCAGAAAAGAATGATTGATAACCATTAGAATGAAATCTAAAAAGACACAACTCTTAAATAATAGTTAGTTAGCAGTTATAATAGACAACTAATAACCTAATTTTAAAATGTATATAAATTTTATAAATCCAATATCGCTATAGATTTATAATAAAAAAATAATAGTTTAAATGTGTATAAATATTAAAAATTTATGCAACATTGGTACTGATCATTAAGATTGGCAAAGAGAGAAAAATGGTTCATCGTTCACTTTCGAAACTATTTATATAATTAATAATTCATAAAATATTTATATAATTTATTCTCATAGGATTTACAACATAAAATAACCAAAAATTATAAAAATAGTAGAACAATAAACATTACACAATCGTTTCTTTGTTTTAATATTTTAAAGATCTCATCTGCAGTGCTCTGCCATTGCATCTCCTTTTGTAATGCGAGCAATTTAAAATTTTAAAAAGAAATAAAAAAAAACTACCATATAAATTTTATACGCAATAAAAGTACGAAATAATAAAAAATTAAAGATCTCATGTCACTCATCTTCATCTGTGACTCGCTAGTGTTAACTATTTTCTTAAGATGAATGATCTATTTTCTTAAGATGGATAATGTTAATATATATTGTGTATTATCAAAAATCATCTGAAATACACAACGTAAAATTCTAGTAACACATGAGAAACAAATTTCTTTATTAAAGAGATTGGAAAAGAAATAAAATAATGAATATAAATAAATATTCTACATATATATTAACAAGAAACATACCTTCCAAAAAATAAGGCTGTGAGTTGCAACTTGCAATTGATGCATATGAACCAAATTATCACTCTCGTGTTTCAAAGTTGTAGTTTAAACATTAGAAAAAACCTCTGACAAGAACTTTTTACGTAGACAAGTAGACAGGGAGATGTAGTTTGCAACATGAGTTCAACTTAGACATCATATATATATATAAGAGATATACAGATATATAAAAAATCTGAATGTAAAATTGACATTGTATATGTTGTAACCAGCAAAGTTCTACCGTCATGAAGTTCTTCAAACAACAACTTAAAACTGAAACAATGCTTATAAAATATTAAAATTGAGTATTGTATATAAAAATTACAAATATATTTAACAATTGTAAAGTTTCAAACAACATCTTAAAACTGAAATGACGCTTATAAATATTAAAATCTAGTATATAATATTATTACAAAAAGTGTATATAAAAAATACAAATAAAATACAATTTTATAGGGTAAATAAATATATATATATATATATATAGAGAGAGAGAGAGAGATAGAGAAAGAGAGATAGAGGGGAAGAGGGTGGTGGCGGCGGTGCTGCGGTGGGGTAGTGAATGCCGAGAGAGTGGGGGAAGAACTAAGAAGGTGGTTTATTTATTTATTTTTATTATTTATTATTATTTTTTTTTATGCATAAATTGTTCATGAGGGTAGATTGGTCCAATTTATTAAATGGTAAAGTAAAAAAAGTCTCCTGAATGTTTAAAGGGTAATTTGGTCAATTTTTCATATAAAGGGGGTGTCTTTGTCCGTTTTTGAACTTTCAAAGAATGTGTTTGTCAAAAAAAGATGTAAGTGTCCTTTGGGTGTTCATTTGCCAAACCTCACGGGAGTGATTGTACTTTACCCACTTTGTAATTACAAAACTACCTGAGGGTTCCTAAGAGAGTTCCAAACGCGTCTTTTCAGAAAATAAAATATTTAGATTTTTTTATTATGTTCGGGATTATATTTAGATTTTTTTTTTTATTGGAGTGTCCCTTCCTTCTTACGGAACCGACCAACCAAGGGTGACACCCATATATCATTCTGGCCCGAACCTGATTGCTTGAGCCGACATATCCCACACCCGCCCTTTCCCCGTTTCAATTCATACCGTACCCGTCCCATTAGGGTGAGACCGGAATCACGGACCCAACCCTCCGACAGGCGGCATCTCTCTCTAGTATTCCGCCCGTTCTAGTCTTTTGTTGTGGCTGTACCAAAACGTATAAGAAGCACTGAAAACGCTCTGCAACTGAGAGGTACACTACCTTCATCTATTTTTGCTTCGACTAAATTAGGGTTTTCTAATTGTTTCCTTTGTTAACTTGCGTGATTGGTAGGATAACTGTTGTTCAATACGTTCAATCTTTCGATTTATGTTCGTCAATACAATTCGCTCCCTTTGCATAATTTTTTTGTTTATTTTTCTTGAAATTATGCTATTTTTAGGTTTTTTTTTTTTTTTTTTTTTTTTTTTTTTTTTTTTTTTTTTTTTTTTGTGTTTGGCTGATTCTTGGAGTGTTCAAATTTGTTTCCCTTAGAAGTAGGTAAAGGTATTTAACCAAGAAGTTGCAAAGAGATATATCCCAATTCCCAAGAATTAAGCATTGATTTGTAATATAGTGATATCTGTTTCGGGAAAGCTAACTGTTCTGTTGGCAGTTCAACAATATTTTGTTTTCTCTGAGGTAAGAAGTAAAAATATAATGTAAAATCATGTTTTATAATTGATTTTGAAATTGGGTTATTGTGAGCAAAAAATTTGCATTTGAGTCTTGGCATAATATGTGTATACACATTGGGCTCAAAACACTGGTACCAAGTTCCAAGTACTATAATCAGTGAAAACGTTTACAACTTGAAACACAATGTTCTAACATGCTTTTATGGTTTCATTGAAGTTCAATTTGAGTTTCACGTTACAAGACCCATCCAAATTGTTCCAATAGCTTCATGGTAAAATCGCCACAGTTGTAAACAGAGTTTAGGTATATGAGAAATTCATATTTGAAATAATTTTTGTTAAACCCTTGAAAGGATAGAATTCAATGGCTGGTTCAAACATCTATTATTGAATTGATCACGTGCTTCTTTTTTATATTAGACAGAAACAAGGTGTTGGAAACTTCTTCCACCCACTGAGGTTACTAATTTGATGATCGCTAAAAACTTTGCCTCATTAGGAAGTAATTTTTTTATTTTAACTTACATGCCATTTTGTATTAATCAAGAGTAAACATTTCTTAAAAATAATTGGTTGAATTGTTTCTGTAACTCTTTTCCGGCATAAAGAGAAGCAACTCTTTTTCATTTTGCTACCCTGTCTCCCTTCCCCTTGCCCCTCACATCAAGTCAACTTATTTTGACAGGAAATATTCTTGGAGAAATTTCTAGTGAGAAAAAAAGAATGAAATAAATAAATTTAGTTGTATCAGTACAATCCTTTCTGAAGCTAATAGAACTGACATGAAATATTTTCTCTAAGATTTATATTAGGTTTATGTGTAGTCCACTCTACCCAATACAAGGCAGGACCAAATGGATTTTCTTTGAAATTAACCTTCTTTCTCAAAGTATAATAAACAGCAAGAAGAAGTTCCTTGCACAAACAAGAGCCTTGGCTGAACAAAAATTGGCTCAGATGCAGAGGACAACAATTATGCTGATGCATGTACTTCTCTTTGTCATGGGCGAAACATCTAAAATCAACTTTCCTCAATTTTATGTAAGAATTTACCCAATAAGTTAACCGGGAGCATAACCATCAGATATGACTACCGACAAATACTTTAAGTTACTAATCAGATGAATTTTATTTATGCTTGTTTAACGAGTTAGTTATATAATAGACACACCATTTTTATCTGAGAAATGACTTCAACAAACAGCCAAGCCTTAGGAAAATGATTTATACCACTTTCCTTAGTTCCACTGGTCCGTAACTCTATAACCAAATGGAAAGCGTTGATGGTGGAGGTCCTTTCTGACTTCCAAGGGACACTAATCATCTTCTGCTCCTCTTTTGATCATATATCAATTTTCAATACTTCATTGGTGTTTCTTCAAGGGCACTAGTATGCAGCTTTATGTAATTTTACTTACTAGTTTATTTACTTCCTTGCTTGTTGCAGTGTTTGCTGCAGGCTGAAGTTGTTTGCATTCGTTGTGAACTCTTGGAGGCCAAGTATCTGAACAAAGTTGGCTGTATCTGCTGCTTTAGGATGCTTCTGTGACAGAAGAAAGTTTATCAATCAAGTTTGTTAGTAGTAAAGCATGAAGCGCAAACGTGGGAATAAGAAAGGCAAACCAAAAAGGCCCACTGTGGTGGCTGCGAATGAGGCAATTTTAAATGTTGTCAGTATAAACACAGATGATAATTCTGGTTTGGATGGTTTTGAAAATGATGAATGTGACTCTAGAATAGAGGTTGATAAACCAACTACAGTAGGAACTAATAAGCCAGAAAAACTTGCAAGTATTAATTCTGATGGACAAATTGATAAGACAGCTGGAAAGTTGGTTTATGGGCGTGTTAAAGTGAAAATTAAGACTTCAAAAGCATTGGACTCTCAGCTTACTTCTTCAGATGCACCTACACAAAGTGATACTGATAAAAGCAGTCAGCAAGTGGGTTTAGAAAAGCCTGGTGTAATTAGTGAGAAAATGGAAGACAGTGCCAACTCATTGTCTGAAATAAATACAACTGTTTCAGGGAATCCTTCTAAGAAAGCCGGGAGCATAAAGATTAAGTCGTCAAGAGGTTTTGGTTCTTCAAGCAAAAGTCTAAGTAGTGATGCTGCACTGGTGCAAGGTGAGAGGACACAGCGAAAGGAACCTGAGTTACTTCGTCAGGATCCTCAGCACAAGAAGCAAGAATTAAGTGCTTCCCTGTCGGTGTGTTTGATGTTTATAATACATTCTGTTACACTTCTTAAATGATGTAAACCTGAACTTTCTGTTGCTGATATTTGTTTGAAACATGCTTATTGTGTACTTATTTATCCTCCTATTCCCTTAACATAGGTTATCAAGAAGGTTATGAAAATGGATGCAGCTGAGCCTTTTAATGTACCCGTAAATCCTATTGCACTTGGAATACCTGTAAGTCTGAATTGCTCTATACATTCTATGGAAGTGTGTGTGTGTATTTTATTTATTTATTTACTTCTTTTTTCGTTTTTTTTTTTTTTTTTTTTACTTTTTATGGTGTTTCATTTTATGGTTTCATCTAGAGCTCTCCTTAAACTAAGCCTGCAATTCAAATGGGTTGAGGGGTTGAATCAGGCTTGGGATGAAGGTTGGCTCAATTGAAGGTGTGAAACCTTCAACCCAAGCCCAATCCAACAAGATTTCAACTCTAGCTCCCCAACCAAGCCCAATCTGCACTCCAATGGTTGAAAATCAGGTTGAAAGTCGGTTTGGATTTATTTCCCCTTCTACATCATTGTGCTTTTATCATTACACCAAGCAATGACACCTTAGGCATATATGAGCATATGTATAGATATTCATGTTAGAAGTGGATTGGGTTTGGATCATGCAGTATATCAGCCCATCTCCAACCCAAGTTTGGGTTGGGATCATCCAAGGCCTAACCTAAGCTTTAAAAAAATTGCTGTTCCCTGTGGAAAATTGGGCTGGATTCAAGTAAGCCTGCCCAAGTCACCCATACTATTTTTTTTTTTTTTAAAAAGAAAGATAAATAAAGCTCCTGAAAGTTATTAGGCTTTTTATCTTTCAGGTATTACGGTTCATCAATAAGTTGTGAAGTATTGTATTCTACTACCTACGCTGGCCTATGTCTGTTAAACTATTTTTGCATAAAACGGGCCTATCTATACTTTGGATATTTCTTCTCTTCTCTTTCTGTTTTTATTTATTTTTTTAATATATTTTTAAATTCATTATGAATTGGGTTTGTTTTAAATAAAGGAATGATTTGTTTGCTTATTTAAGTCTCCTAACATTTATTACGCTGCCTACAATCATGAGGTAGTCCACAATGCTTTATTATACTTTTCCTGTTATGTTAAACTAATATTATTGAACTCTTTTTTGTGCCTGAGACCAGGACTATTTTGATGTCATTGATACACCAATGGATTTTGGCACAATATGCAGCAATCTTGAAAATGGTGTTAAATACATGAATTCAGAGGATGTGTATAGGGATGTGCAATATATCTGGGAGAACTGTTACAAGTATAACAATAAAGGTGATTATATTATGGATCTCATGAAAAGGGTGAAGAAGAACTTCATGAAGTATTGGACAGCAGCTGGGTTGTACAATGAACAACCACATGGTGTTATTGGTGAGGGTTTCACGGTTTTGGTCTTCCTTAGTTATTGCATCTTTTTACGATATCCAGTATTTGGCTAATGGAAGACATTGACTTATTCATTTATTATTATGGATAAATTTTTGTAGGGCAACATAATATGAGTCTTTTGATTCGCGTTTGGTCATTGGGCAAGAAATTTACCTTTTCCAGATCTTTTACACTTTCTTCCTCGTGTAGTTTTATGTTTTCAAAGTTCTTGTGTTTTGTATCCATTACTGATAAATGATATTATGAAATATGAATATGAATATGCTTATTGATATACATAAACATTTATTTTTTACTTATAAAAAAAAAAAAAAAAAAAAAAAAAAAAAATAGACATAAACATCATTTAATATCATTGATGTCATTCGCCCAAGTTCGTTCAAGTTCTTATGAATTAAAATTTACAGTAGAAAGTATATGAATTCTCTTGGGATGAGATCAGATATAATAAAAGGGACTTTTTGTAACTTATAAATACCTTTATCCATTATTGGCCCCATTAATCAAAGGAGTTGGGACGTACAGACTAGGTGCGGACCTAATTTTGGGCATCCCTTTGCACAAAGCAATCACCCCTGTTTTTTTTTTAAATTTATTTATTAATATACAAACTTTAATTATTTTCTTGTGCTTTGTGCTTGTATAGAGAAATAATGTACAAAGCAATCACCGCTGATTTTTGTAATCTACAAACTTTAATTATTTTCTTGGTGCTTTGTGCTTGTATAGAGAAATAATGTTTGAATAACACTGCATCGAACAAAATAGTGTCAAACTGTCAATAATGTTGATATATCTGTAGGTACACCTTGTATCATGACCATGAATCAGTACCTTTTTGCTGATCTACTAGAAGTTTGACAATTGTAATATTGGAAAAAATATTTGATAATGGCAATTCTCATCCATTGATGGTATGAGTTACAATGTATAGTTTTTACCATAGCTTGAATAGATTCTGAAGAAGTGATGTATGTATAATGATTCCCATATAGGTGCAAGGATTATACTTTTGAAGTCCGTAGGAACTCTAGGTTACATTGATGGATTGAAGTAGTGAAATGGGCATCACTTGCTTATACATGTTGTTCTTGTGTTGTATTTGGACACGAGGATGTATATATGCATAAGATTCTACTGAGATGGATGTATTTGATATGTGCACTGATGCCTCTTTTTTGTCCTAATACATCTCCCCCCAACAAGTAATCCACACGGGCATATTCCAAGTGGAATTTGCACTTCCCCTCTCGGGGATGGCAGGAGATACCACAAAAACTAATAGTTGGTGGTAGCAGTCTGAATTTAATTTATAATTCTTTCAACAATTTCAGATATTTTCATCTTGAATTCCATTTTACTAATATGCACGTTTTTTTTGCTATATTTTAGAACATTAATCTCAATTCTGGTATCTCCATCAGTTATCTGGGTTGTTTTTGAATCTTGATCTCTCTGTTGACTCTAATAACCTCTTTGATAGTTGCCTGTTTTGTTGTTTACCTCCGTCAACACCCTTTACAGAAGCATGTTCACCCTCCAAATTGCTTCTGGTGTCCACAGTAATAATTTGTAAAGTTAGACGTTTTGCTCACCCAATTTTTGTTTGAACATGAATGCTACTAGGATTGTTATAATTGCCTGTTGTGGTAACAATATGCTATTCTCACCTTACATGCTTGTCTTCATCTTCGTGATAGCAGTATTCTCTTCTTACTAGGTGTTGAAACCATTCAAGCAAGAGACATTGCAGCTTCCAGTCATGTGAAGATGCAGGTGAATAGTGGTTACTTAAAACAGAAGACACGGAAGCGCCATGGGTATGCATCTGTAGGTTCTTTTAAATAAATTAGTTTTCCATTTTGATAATTTATTGCTCTTATTTTATGAGGTTACTTGTGGTTGAAGCATTCATGATGATTGAATTAACACTACTTCTTGATCACTGTAAATTTCTTTTCTTTTTTCGAGTTTGACGTAAGAATAGGTTCTTATTAGATTCCTTCTATATTAACTTTTCTTTCATAAAATGTATTCGGGAGAAAGAGAACAACAAAGTGGATTTGCTTAAGGTGGAAATGTTAGGGTTAATGGTTACCATGGCTTCTATGTTTCCTAGTGATAACAATTCAGTAAGAAAGCCTCTCTCTCTCCTCTTTAAATATGTGGTTGGATCATAGTGTATCTTAACTAATATTCAGGAAGATGGATCCTGTTATGGAATATTGCAGTATTGGGTTGTTGATATGGACATCCCTTGTTTTTAATGAAGATGACCTCCTCTTATGAAGTAAAACATGTCAACTAGGAATCAGGTAAATTATTATTACATTGATTTGGAGTTTTTGTTGCCTTACTAAAGAGGGATGCTCTCTATAAAAAATTTGACTAATCTATATCACTGTACAATATAAACTCTCAAACTAATTCCTGGATACTTTTATAATGTTTGGTTCCGATACTACCTTTGAAGTGTTAGTGCACTGTCGTAGAACCATATTTCTAGTATTTAATAATTCATCAGTGGTTTTGTTCCTCAATAACTTGAGTCATTTTCAGTTCTGTTTTTTATTGTTCTGTACTGTATATTGCAAAATTATAAATTTGTACTATAGTTAAGCTTTGGTCACTTGAGTAGTTGATTATTTTGTGGAGTTTTAAGGAATCTGTAATTATTGAATCTGCTGTAGTTATGCATGTGTATATTTCAAGTTTGCATTTAGTTCAGTGAAAAATCACTTTTAACCTATTTAGGAAAAAAAAAAAAATCACTTTAACCTACTGATATATTTATCAAAGTTTGTGGAAGTTCAAAGCTGTTGTAGAAAGTAGTAAACTGCTGGCATGGGATCAGCAAAGGTGGTACATTAGATTATTTTTTTCAGTTTTCTATATGCTTGGTTGGATTTTTGTTTGTAAAATTTTCCTTCTTCCCTGAAACCATTGAATGCCTACTACATTTTTACCAATATTGTTTTCCGGCACAGGCAGTTAATTTATTTATTCATTAATATTTAGCTTCTCAAGTTGTCAACTTTTAACAGAGTTAAACGACACAAGGATGACTGCCTATGTGCTATATGTGTAATGATGCGCCGCAGGCAAGAGCGCGAAGAGAGTACTCAAACTGTTGAAGATCAAATTGGTGCCAGTAATAGTCATCTAGCTCAAGAGGTGATATATTTTAATCTTTTACCATGACTGTATTCACCCTATTTTGGTTGATTTTTAGGATTTTCTATTTGTAGATTTGCAAAGTGGGAACTGTCAGGAATACAAAATCATCATCATCATCCTTGCTTTTATTCCATACAAACGGGGTCGGGCACATGGATTCTCTTTTTCCGGTCTTTTCTATTATAGGCCATATCTTCTACTAGATTTATTTTTTTGAAATCATTTCTAATCACTTCATTCCATGTTAGTTTTGGTTGACCTCTTTGTCTCTTTCCCTCAATGCAAATCAATCTTCCTCTCCTCATGGGTGCAATCTATAGGTCAGCGTAAAATATGCCCATACCACAGTAGTCTACTCTCTTTTATTTTCTCACTTACAGGCGCCACGCGTACTCTCTCCCCAATCCTTTGAATAGCAATCCTATATTTCTTAGTTATTCCTAACGTCCATGTTAACATCCACATTCCTGTTTATCTCTTCATTTTACTTATCAAAAATAACATCCACATTTCTGCCGCATGGATGTGTTGTTCGTGTTTCTTTTTTAGTGCCCAACATTCCGCACCATAAACCAGTCTGATCATTGTCCTATATACTTTCCCTTTTAATTTAGTTGGCATTCGTTTACCGCATAGAACCCTGCTAGCATTCCTCCACGTTGTCCAACCTATTCCAATTATACTACTCACATCATCTAAGAAGCATGGACATGGACACGACTCGGCACGAATATATGCCAACATGTCAAATTCTAAAAAAGTAGGACATGGTCACAGCGTAGACACAACTAATATAAATATAAAAGTTCATCTGTATATGTATTGACTAAGACAATTAGAGAACTTCAATTAATTGATAATTTTTATACTAAAGTCACATAAGTTAGAAGGGGAAGCTATTTGAATATCAAAAAGAATATATTATATTAGATATGATATATCCTCTCTTGTCTTTGTAGTTATTTTTTTTGTTCATATTACATACTATGACATATGTTTAATGGTAATGTTTTTTTTTTATTTTTTATTTTTTATTTTTTATTAAAAAAAGAGGTTGAATGCTTTGATAACCCCCCCTCCCCTCTCGGAATTGTTTGCACTCAAGAGGATTCGAACCTTAGAACACTTTGTTATATGTTTATAATGTTGTTTCTAGGGCTGTCATATCTTTGTTTATAAAAGACAAAGAGAGGGATATGTTGTCGAGTGTCCGGAATGTGTCGACCAAGTGCTTGAAATAATAAAAATAATTTTTAAATTATGGACATGGTCATGAAGTGTTGGAGATGTATCCAGGAGTGTCCATTAAGTGTTGGTGTCCGACAAGGATATGGCACCTCATAGAAGTGTCCGTGCTTCTTAGTAGATCATCATCAATCTCTCCATTCTTTGGTACAATTGATCCTAAGTATCAAGAATAATTACTTTGATTTCAGAGTGTAGCGTTCTTGATGGATATATGTTTGACAGATCTGATCTGTTTAGTATTGTTAATCATTTACATGCTATATTGAGAAGAGGGTTTTAATCTGTCTTTTTCTTATAGAAGTTCACTTTTTCTATTTTTTTCTTTTACATTTTCTGTTTAAGGAAACTTCACCTGTGGAAAGTCCTTACGATGAGGACATTTCATCAAATATGGACAATTCACTAGGCCCGGATGCAGATGCTGACTCGGAAGGAAAAGGCGAGGAGGTGAAGATGGAAACCACTGAGCAGCTCTATAGCCCTTTACAGGACAAGCAGGAGATTGAGATGGAGATCCAAACAAAAGGAGAGGGTGAAATATCTGAGCATTCACAACTTGGTGATAGATCTGGAGAGGAGCATGATAGACAGTATCAGACACAAACGCCTGAATCAGGTGGATATATCCAGACTAGCAATCAGAAAGAAGAAATATTATTGCAGCATGACGAGAAAACTGTAGCAATTGAGCCACAGAAGGAAAAGGTATATCTTCTTTCAGCCGATCTTTTCCAGCACCACATTATATGTTTTTCAACTTAAAATAAAGATTACAGGTTGCTTAGCTTCTTATGATGTTGGGTGTAAGAAACAAACAGTTTAGTAAAGCGTATTATTCTATTGTATGTCTACAATTTACAACAGTACAAGCATATTTATATGCCCTAACAAAAGGCTGATAAAAGACAAAAGACTAAACTACCCATATAAAAGACAATAGACTAAAGTACCCATAAGAACTAAAATGTGCGAATATTTTAGCAACATGAGCAAAAGTTTCTTCATGGTCAATACCATACTCTTGGGTGAACCCCTTTGCAACAAGACGGGCCTTGTACCTCTCAATAGAACCATCAGACTTGGTCTTTATTTTATGGATCCACTTGCCACCAACTGTTTATCAGGGGGTAAAGGCACCAAGTCCCACATGCAACTCTTATTCAAAGCAAGGAGCTCTTCGTCCATAGCCTGTTGCCAATGAGAATCAAGGACAGCTTCGTTATAGGAATTAGGTTCAGAAAGAGAATGAATAGATGCCAAAAAGAAACAAATATATTCTCTAACACGCCCCCTCCTCCTCCTCTCAAACTCACGATGTGACACTGAGAAGCATCAAGAGTTTGTTAAGAAGAAAAGAAAACGCATATAGTGCGGGACTTCGTGAAGAAGTCAGCCAACTGCATAGTAGATGAGACATATGGTAGAGAAGTAGTGCCAAGTTGAAGATGATGGCACACGAAGTGACAATCAATCTTAATATGTTTTGTACGCTCATGAAAGACAGAGTTATGAGCAATCTGAATGGCGCTCTTGTTATCACTGTACATAGGAGTAGGACCAGAAAGAGGAACACCCATATCAGCAGGCACCCTTCTGAGCCAAACTAACTCTTCTAGGCACGATACTCAGCCTCAGCAGAAGAGCGAGCAACAATTGTCTGCTTCTTGCTTTTCCAGGAGATGAAAGAATCACTCAAAAAGACACTGAAGCCCGTAGTTGACTTACGATCAGTTGAGTCTCCAGCCCAGAGAAAGCTTGAAGTTCCAATGCAGATGTAGATGAAAATAATAAACTGTGATGTAAACTACACTGGAGATGGCGCAAAATGCGAAGAATAGCAGTCAGTGAATAGTAGTAGGAGAAGACACAAACTAACTTACAATGTGTACCACAAGGCAAAAGCATGTGGGGTTATGTCACTGGGATTTCGACTATCCCATTAGATACCAAAGCTGAAAAGTACTCTGAATTTCAATCACTTGGATAAATAATTCTGTGGATCACTTGGCCAAGCTTTCCACCGCTATCCTATAATTCTGTGAATAATGTGAAAACAATCACTTTTTAGCTGAGTCCCCATATCCTATAAATTGATAGATTGACGAATCCGACCCCTAAGCATGTACCCGTGCCCGACACCCGTACTCGAGTCCGGGTAACATAGCTAACTTGTAAGATTGAGGTGGAATAGTTTGAATTCCCTTCTCAATACTAGTTAGAAGAGGACGAAGTAGCTCCACCAAGATATAGTTGCTCTCTTAGAGCATCTCCAATGCATAAAGTTATTTGTGCATGCCAAATCTATATTTTGAGGAGTGCTACAGTATCAAAATGATATATTTTAGCAATTCTACTCCAATAGTGCGTTGCTATTTTTTGACACAACCACATTTTTTTTTCAACAATTATTCCCAATTTCCATTTTCAACCACCATTCTTTTTCCATTGCAAATATAGATAGAGATGGACAGAGGAAACATAGACAGACCCAACAATTCTTCCTACCCATCATTCCTCCAATTCTACACAAGAAATCTCAGGTTCATCTCATTTTCAACCCCAAAACCACTACTCATCATAGCCCTAACACAAGTTTCTCACATCCAAGCCTCAATAATCTGCTCCAAATTGCATAAATTGCAGATAAGAATCCGAAGTGGAGGCCACGATTTTGATGGCCTTTCCTATGTCTCAGATCATGAAAACATTGATAAAATTAGATGGACAGACTATGTAGCGACTAAATATGACAACAGTAGAAAGAAAATTCAATTAATATGATTATTGAAGTCAATATACATATGGGAATTTCTTTACCCCAGAGACCCAGAAACAAACAGATTGATGAGAGAGAAAGAAAGAAGCTAATCATCATCACCGGTCGAGGGAGCCACGATCGAGGGACCCAGAAACAAACAAACTCCGGTCGATTTTTGATCATCATCGCCGCCGCCTTCTTCACCGGAGTGCATGCCACGACCCAGAATGACGGCGACTGCAGAGGGAGCCACGATTGGACAACCCAGAACCACGATCGGACCACCCAGAACCACAGACCACCCAGAACCACGGCTGAGCAGCACCTTGGAGTCCTCCAGTGGGCCCAGATCGTCGAATCTGCCGCTGAAGTACAGAATCCGGTAACGGTAGAGGAAGAAACAAGTGTTGCAGATGAGAGGGAGAGAGAGACGACAGAGTTAGCGATATCGAGGAACAGAGAAAGCAACAGGGGATTGAGGGAGATAGGACGACGTTGCAGATGAGAGGGAGCGCGATATTGAGGGACAGAGATAGCGATATTTGAGGGATTGAGGGAGATAGGAAGAAACGGTGTCTTTGGGCCATTAAACAGACTTGCCAAAAAAATTTGGCAGCTCTCAAATGTGAGAAAATTTGAGATTTTCAAATTTTGAGAGGCCAAATGAAAGGCCATTGGAGAGCTTTTTTTTTGCCCATCTCTCAAATTATGAGTTTGAGAGCCCAAAATAGAAGAGCATTGGAGATGCTCTTACAATACAAGAGTCATAATTTTCTCCATGGATGAAAAGACACTATTTGAGTGGTAATACCATATTCCCCTTAAAAGTCTTCAAACATCCTAAAATAAAAACATTACTCTAATAATAATAAATAAATAAAAAATCTAATTCCATCTATCTTTCCCACACCTCCAATAATAGGTGCGGTTCATGTGTATTTCAAGCTCTCGGACCATGCTCCGTTCTCCATCACCAAGTCCTTAAGTAAATGCTGGGATGTGGTTTAAGATTAAGTATAGTGCAAGATTTGTTGGAATGTGATTCTTGTCGCCGAACTTAAATAGTTTGAAACAAGTTTTGTTGGTTTGAACTAACAGCAGCCAGCCTAAAATTGTTGATAGTCACTGACATAATCAAGCACTAATATGCTGTGAATAGATTGGCGTATGGGAATGATTACTAAGACTGGTGGGAGCTGTCCCAGTTAGTGGAAAGGAAATTTTCTTGGCCACCCTGTGGGTGACACTGAGTGAGCATGCATAAAGAATACTGCACTAGTGGTTTATAATAATGATTGGAACTAGCCTCACTATATCTGATATTTGGGGTTAATTACCCATTCCTCAACCTAAAACCGATGGAATGCTATTGCTTTCATAATTTTTTTATGACTTAAGAGTGACTGAACAAAGAACCCAATCTGGTTATGGTTAAAAGGTTGACCGGTCCCTCTGATATCAGCCAACACGCACCAGCTGTTGTAACAGTTTGGGTTTCAAAAGAACCTAATTGTTTGTGAATAGCTTGGGCTTGGGTCATTAAGAGCTCAACACAGGCTTGAGTCGTTAAGTAACCAAGCGGAACTCTAGCTCATTCTTTGGCTCCTTTAGTAAAGGAGTCAAGTATGAAAAATATGCGGTTAGCTTGTTTGAACTTGTGAACATCATAGCCTATTACGCTAATTTTTGGTTTTCACTAGCATGATATTTAAATGCTCGTCACACATCAGTTTTTTGTCCAGAAGTAAAGTGGAATGCTTAAATTCCAGTGCTGTCCTCTGTTAACATGGCATGAGATAGTATCTCTATATTCCCACAGCATGAAGCATTATTTTTTCAAAATTTGAGACATTACCAATATGTTTGTATTTTGTAACTGCAGAATGTATTGATTTTATGATTTGTTCTGGTTACAGAAGTTATCAGAGAAGAGTCAAAAAGCAAAATTGTACGAAAACTTCCGCTGTTTGGAAAATCCTATGCTTCTGAAGGTGTGTGGAACCCTCTTTCCTGACGATCGTAAATCTGTCTGGACTGGACATCATTCATTGGCTCGAAATTCTGGTCCTGATTCTGGTAGTCGAATTCATGCAGCTGTCACAGCTTTAATGAAGTAGGTGTTAATATTATGACCATTCTTGGCAGCGTTTGTTGAGTGGATCCTAGATAGATCATATATAACTACATTCAGCGGTGGATAAAATCTGGGAAGAACTTGATAGTATGATTTTGGATGTGTGCTATAGGAGATTGATGCAAATTACAATCCTGTGAACTGTATGATTCTAATTTAAACTTGATTTATACTCTTTTCTCGGGTGATTCCTGTTGAGGGTTTGAATGGAATGTTGTAATTTACATGTTTCATTAAAGAAAAATGCTTGAATATGATTCATAGAAGATCTTTACTAACTGATTTTGTGGGTGTGTAACTGCAAGTGTTAAATTGAACCACCAAATTTATGTCCTCCCCCGTTTGGGGAGGTTGATGACTTGATGCCTAACTGAGAAATTGTGATGATATAGCCGATGGCTCTTTTTCATTTTTTTATGGTTTTACTGCAGAGCATGGTCTACATTAGAAAAAGTCTCGACTATAAATCCTAATTTTCTCCTTGGAGTTCCAATATGATAGCATTGGATCTTGAGGTTTCCTAGGGGTTTATATATCAAGATTTCACTCCTACAATTACTTATTCGTTGAGAAAATAATCCATGGGAAGGGCTGATTTGAGGATGAGGAATTAGCATACCGATTCGCTTTTGGGGAAGCTTAATTCATATGACATTAGCTATCGCGAAGTCCAGGGCCGACTATCAAACGTCGTAAGCTATTCTTAAATTACTGGTAACAAATATGGACTATGTGCTGCATGGTTAGATTCCACTTGTATATTGGCGGCAGTTGAATCTAGATTATTTTTTAAATTTTTTGAATATTATTTATTTCAATATATATATATATATATATATATATATATATATAGAAACATGAACTTTCTTGCATAAATTATTTTCTAACTCTATATATTTTCCTAACATTCGTAAAACTCTCCTTCTATAAGAAAATATAATCTCTCTCTCTCAAAATTATTTCATTCTCTCTTAAACAGAGCACCCGAAATTAGTTAAGTCCCAAGAAATTTCAAGTATCAGAAGAGAGCACAACCTGGGAGATGCAACTTGACCAATTCCAATTTCTTCAAGAAGATCAAGAGAAAAAATTAAGAACCAGCGACAATTCGGTATAAATAAATAGAAATCATAAAAAATGAAATATGAAAAATATAAAGAAAATTAAATAAAAAATTACTTCGCGTATTTAGAGGAGGCCACGTCAAAGCAATATTAGGAAGTTTGGATCAATTCCATGAGCATTTTCATTTGTATGGACTTGTTTATTTTTTATATGTAAATTTTTACACTTATATATTCCTCCTTCGAATTTTAACTTTGTGTACATATATAACATGCCATTCCTTACTAGTTAAGTAATGTTGTCTGAATCTTTGTATAAATAGTTGGGTATATTTATGAAAATGGAATAAAAGATAAGGCTTGTGGGTGTAGGAATAAAGTGTACAGAATGGTGAGACATGAGAATCGAGATTGAAGAGAGATATATCGAAAAAGATACATGGTGTGTGTGTATATATATATATATATATATATATATATATAATTAATTAATTAATTATATAGAGTATTGTTATGTGGGCAGAGAAGGAAAATCATATATGAATTTAAGAATAATTTTGACATTTTGCATTTTGTTTTTTTTTTTGTTTTTTGTTTTTTTTTGTTAATGATAAAGTAAGGTTAATTTAGTAATTTTACTGCCAAAATTATGATTTAATTTTATTTGTACAAATTGAAAATAGTAAGGGGTAATGAGACATTTTGTATATTTATTTTTTTTTTTTTGAAAATTTAAGAAATATCATGCTAGAACATGAAAGAAAATATCAAGATTTGTTTTTCATTATGTGGTAGTCTAAAACTTGAGCGCTTGGCGTTAAAGAACTAGAGCATGAAAGAAAATATCTTTGATTTTCCTTTCTTATATCATAGTGTAGAACTCCCGCATGAAAGAAAATATCAAGACTTGCCTTCAGTAAATTAAAAAATTTATACCAGGTATTGACATTCCCACTTGTAACATCTACACTCACTCTTTGTACTAGAGCTTTACCACTTGTTGACTATACGTGATACCTCTTTTCCTTATACTTGTTTACTAACCTCTATTCCTTATATAGGCATCTTCCTCCCGAATGAGCCAGTAGAATGAATAACAATCAATGGCATCTGGATGTTTTACAATCAATTAAAATTTACAAAACTCTTTCTCTAGTCTTCTAAACTATTTTATAATCAACAAATTCCTACAAACTCTTTAATGCTCTAAAATCCTCCTTCACTCTACCATACTCGACAATGGAGACGTCATGCAAAGTCCTATTTGTTGGACTGTTAGGAAAAAAAAAATTGAAGGACAATTGAGAACACAAAAAATAATTAGATGATGAGATGAACTTAGTCGAGACGTGTGAACACACTGTCCTTAAGAATAGATCCGCCTCTCTAAGACCATGTCTCTTTGTAACAACGTTCCACCTTTAAGATATAACAATCAAATCCTCAAATGTACACTCATACTGCAGAGGTAGTCGGACAACTTCAATATGGTCTTTTGGTGAATGGAATTGCAGAACAAGAATAATTGTAGCAAAGAATGGTATTTGGGAAAACAATGGTAGCCAAAGCAATATTGAACACAACACTCAGCTGTGACATCTAGGTTATGAGCCTTGCGAGCTACCAAACTACTCTACCCCATTCTAGAGAGAAGAACTGAGAAGTAAAAGACAAACAAGGATTGAGTGTGCCCCTGTACCATATTTGTACAATTAGAACAAACCATTTATTCATAATGGTAGAGGGACCTCTATGATCGATGATCATAGAAAAGGGGTATTTTAATCCTTATCAATTTGATCTTCTTGTGCATGGCAATAAACATGCAAGAACCATATCACGAAGTATGTGTCCGGATAGTCCAAAGTCTCTGTTGGAAATCTTATCTATAAGTTGACTCAACGATTATGGCAGATTTATTGGGTCTTCAATATAGGCTAATTTTTAGGGATTTTATTTTTATTCTGATTTGATTTGATTTGATTTTATTTTATTCTCTTTATTTTGATTTGATTTTATTCTCTTTTCCATATTTGTAATTTTCCGCTGGTATATAATGATAGTCTGGTTCTCAAATTGAGTACTCCAATTTTACCAAGTTACTTTTTGGTATCAGAGCCTCAAACCTACGCCTCCCCCATCTCTCTCTCTTTCACCGCCTCTTTTAATATATCTCTCTATCTCGTTATAGCCCTTTCCCTATATATATATATTTTTTCACAGACCTTCTCTCTTTTTCAGGTCGCTGTTGCGACAGTCCTAGGGGGAGTCAATCTCCTCTAGGTTCGACCCCTGTAGGGGTATTCCCTTAATCTTTTTCATGCACTAAGGGTCAGAAGACGTGTTTGTAATTTTTTAGGGCTGCCGGGATATTCGGCAGCATTTTCGGATCAGACCGCCGTATCTCCGGCTTCTTGGTTTGATCAAAATCAGGTTTATTCCTCCTTTATTTGAAATTATTGGTAATATGTTGAATTGATCTATTTAATATTATGGCTGAATCAAGTAATAATAAATAAACTCTCTTTTCGGCGCAACACACACCGGCTCAACGAGTTACTAGTGTGCTGTTGAATGGCCGTAATTTTGCATCCTGGGCTCATTCCCTCCGCCTCTATATTGGTGGAAAAGGCAAATTAGGGTGGATTTTGGGTACTGAAAAGATGCCAGTTATTAAAGATCCTAAAGATGCTCAGTGGGATATGGACAATTGCACCATTTTAGGATGGATGTTTAATTCTATGGAGGAACGCATTTATAATATATTCATATTTTATGACTCTGTTAATGACTTGTGGACTGCTTTGAATTAAATGTATGCTCATTCTAGGAATGATGCTCGTATTTTTGAATTATATCAAGGTATTGCTAAGGCCTCGCGGAAGGCCTGAATTTGTCTGTAACTGATTATTTTGGGTATTTGAGATCTCGTTGGGAGGAACTAGCTCAATATGAGCCTCTCAGTGAATTTCCTTCTGAGGCAACCTCTCTTCTTGTCAAACGTCTTGATCGTCAGCATACCTATCATTTTTTGATGGACGCCTAGAATTTGAACCACTAAAGTCTCAGATCTTGAATGCATCACCAATGCCATCCCTGTTGGAAACCTTTGCTACTGTTGATGGTGAAGCACGCAGGCACCGTTTAATTCAGCCCTCAATTGTTCCTGTACCAGTGTTTGAGCCTGCTGAGGATAATATGGCTTTTGCAGCCAACTTTGGATCACGAGCTTCTGAAGGTCAGATTATTTGTCACCATTGTGGAGGGGTTGGACATGTTAAGGCTCGTTGTTTCAAACTTCATCCTGAACTGAAGCAAAAATTTTCTAGGAACAATTTATCTGGAACTGGTTCTTCTTGTACTGCGGCTGTTGCAGAAACTCCTGTTACTACCGGTGGGTCTACTGTATTTCCTGGATTGAGCCAGCTTTAGTCTTAGATTAGGCATATCTAGGACCAGCTTGGCTCCCTTGCTTCTAGAGTTAGTGCTCCTTCAACTGCTCCCACTGCAACTATTGCTACAGGTACTCCTACTGCATTTCATGTTAAGGCCAAGCAGCCCACTTGGGTTCTGGATTCTGGGGCCAATGATCACATGACTGGTGATTTATCAGTTTTTTCTTCTAATATCATACCTGTTACCCAATCTGTGTATCTTGCGGATGGCTCTACATCTTACATTCATAGTAAGGGTGATGTTTGTCTGTCTCCTGATATTACTCTTTCATCTGTCCTTTATGTACCTAAATTTGCCTTTAACCTTTTATCTGTTAGCCAGCTTGTAAAAAATCTCCAATATGCAGTTATATTCTTACCAGATCACTGTTTGTTGCAGGACCTTTGTTCGAAGAGGATTTTTGGCAGGGGTTATAAGCGTGATGGGCTTTACTACTTTGGGGAACCACCAGGAACGAGTCTTTAAGCTTCTGTCCTACCTACTTCTAGTGTTTATGATGTTTCTTTTCGCATTTTTTAGTCTGTGGCATGCACGTTTGGGGCATGTAAACTTTCAATATTTATGTCTATTGTTTCCTTCATTAAATAAAGCATGTAAGGACCATAAGTTTCAATGTGAAGTTTGTGAGCTTTCTAAACATACTAGAACTAGCTATATTTCTCATATGAGTCGTACTCCTAGTATGTTTGATCTTATTCATTCTGATGTCTGGGGCCCTTCCCCAGTTACTGCTTTCTCTGGACATCAATATTATGTGA